ATCCGAGAGTCTGTCCCGTCCATGAGTTCCGCAGGTGTTAAGAGATCACCTGGAAGGCTTAGCAGAATAATGCGTAGATGCTGAAGCCAAAATGCTCTGGAATCAATTCCTGGCTCAGCTCACGGGCCTGAGCAATTACTCAACTTAACCTGAGTGCAAGTCTGTTCACCTGTGAAAGAGGGAGAATAATCATAGTAGCTACCACCACAGGGTTTCTGTGAGGATAGAGTGAAGCCAACAGTACACGCAAAGCCCTTTTAAACAGTGCCAAATACTTTATGTTAATTGCTCTTTTTTTATTGAACTTGTTCTATATACTAAAAACTTTACCATTAAATAGCTCATTGAAAGCAGTACCTTTATTAACATGGTAGTTTCAGACCTTTTTTTCAAGGATGTTATTAACTTGACAGAAGCCACTTAGGAACGCAGGCTCGCTCGGGGTGTTCTGATTCCAAGCTGCCATAGCCTACTGCACTCCCTGCCCCCCGGCGTGAGTGGATCCCAGTGCAGAGCACTGCTGTGCTGCGCTCGGCCCAAGACTGATGCTCTGTCAACCTCCTGTCTTCTCTTTCTAGCTAAGGCCTTAACACCAGCCTCAAGCTGGAAGTTTCCTCGTTGATTCTCGACCTCTATAAAAAACAAGGCTGGTCTTTTTGGTGCATTTTTGTAATTCAGCCCGACTCCCTTTTAATTCTCTGCTCCCTCAGAAGAGATCTTTTCTGTGCAGGCTACAGCTGACACCCAGGTGGACAGTGACTTGGAAAGTTACTTTTCCTCAGTGACTGTCTCCCATTCAGCCCTCTTGCTTGTGATCAGCTCAGTGATACCAGTGCTTCGCTCCTCCCATCGGTGGGAATCTGCTGTGTGGAAGACAGAGCTAGCCCATTGCCACTACCTGGCATAACCTGGGAGGCTACTCCCCGTGTGCAGTGTGGCAGCCTCTGCCAGCTTCTCTTGGAATCCTTAGGGTTGGCTTCAAAGGTCAGCGTGGTATTTACCTGCCCTCTCTTTTCAGTCCTTCTTCCATCTGCCTGAGTCACTGCTGGCTTGCAGTGTTGGTCACCAGTGTCAATATGTCCCGTGGGGACTGTGACTCTGGCCTTTGGCCTTGTCTTCTGCAAGCCCCTTACAGCTGTGTCCCATCCAGAGCACTCAGGCTGTGGGGAGGGAGCCCACTGCAACCACCAGAGCACCCTGAAACTGAAGTCCTGTCCCATCACCTCCTTCCCATGGTGGGACAAAACGGTGACCCCTGCACCAAGATTAGTCCCATCCGCCTCCACAGTGGGCCTCTTCCCGCTCTGCCCTGGGTACGCTCCCCCTTGTGCTGCCAGCTCCTAGGAAACCTGATGATCTGCTCTCCGTTCAGCCCGGTGGTGGCTTCCACAGCAAAACCCTTCCTGTCCTTCCCGATAACAACACGCCTGTGTCCCTACAGCCTGAGTCACCTTTGTGCTCCCTGCGGTAGACAGGACCTGGTTGGTAGGTTGATGCAAGCCTCCCACGAGGTCCCCCAGCTGCCCGAGGTTTCCAGCCACAGTGGAGGGTGCTGTATTCCTGTGCCTGGCACATGGTAGGCACTCACTGAATAGTCACCGTGAGTCTGAGAGCAGCCACTCTGAATAACTGTAATCCTTACTGCAAAAAGTAGGGCGGTGCTGACATTTCCAGACCACCCTGTAGGGTACCCCGTTGGGATTCTTGGTGTCCCCAAAGGGAAGTCTTCACATTTCAGACCTAACAGTTCCATGGGCTCCCCTGACTTCTGATGTCACGGTGCTGTCTATGACCTTCAGAGCCACCATGTGACAAAAGCCCATTGCCTGACCCTGTGCCCACGAGCCCACCCATGCTTCCTTCCTGAACTGTTTGCTCAGACGCATGTCAGAGCTTATGACGCGGGAGTGGAGAAATCTTACACTCTAGGTTTGACCAGCAGTGTTCCCAGGTCTCTACTTAAAGGAGCCTTATCTGGGGCTAGCACTGTGATGTAGTCCCAGCTGCTTTACTTCCTATCGAGCTCCCTGCTCATGCGCCTAGGAAAGCGGAGGATGATGGCCTTAGTGCTTGGGCCCCCACACCCATGTGGGAGACCTAGAAGAAGCTCCTGGCTCCTGGCTTCAGACAGGCCCCAGTTTGGGGAGTGAACCAGCGGATGGAAGACCTGATTCTCGGTCTCTCCCTGTCTCTGTCTATAACTCTGCCTCTCAAATAAATATTTTTTTAAAGCTCTTTACCCTTAGCAGTTTTCTTTCTGGAAGAGTTGAAAGTTAGTCTTTTCAGCCTTGCAGAAAATCAGCTCCTTCAAAATCAGGGTGGCCTTGTCTTCATGCCTTTCGTAATGGCTTTTATACAAAGAAAACTCTACTCCTTTTGCTAACTTGTGTGGAAAAGTTCATTTATGCCCCTCTCTGAGCTAGTTGGAGATGAAAATTAAAAAATAAAAAAAGAAAAAGCTCACATTTATTGAGCATTTACTTTTGTGAGTCGTTGTGCAAAGCACATCCTATAATGTGCAGTTACTGCTGTCAGCCCCGGAAGTGGACAACAAAGGAAGGCTGGGAGAAGTTAAGGGATGTGTGCGGATCATAGGCTGCCGAGAGGGGGAGCTGGGTTTGAACCCAGATCTGCCTCTCCTTGAGGCCGTGCATTTGGCCACCATGCTGCACTGCCTTAGCCTTTTATGTTCTGCTTTGTTTACCTATTGTCCTTAATAAGCTAAAATTGTACATATTTCTGGGATACTCTGTCATGTTTTGACCCATGTATACATTGTATGAATGTCCAAACCAGGGCAAACATCAATCCCTCCTTAAACATTCATCATTTCTTCATTGTTAAAATATTCTAAATCCTTCCTTCCAGCTTTTTTTGGTGAGGGGTGGCGTGTGAATATCTATTACTTATCTGTAGTCACCCTACCATGCAGTAGAACCCCAAAACTTATTTTACCTGTGTGGCTGTAACTTAGTACCCACTGATTCACCTGCACCCCCGTGCTGTCCCCAGCCTCTAGTAACCAGCATCCCACTCTCCACTTCTGTGAGACCAGCTCTCTGAGGCTGCACATGCGCGGTGCTCCTGTGGTATTTACCTGAGCCTTTAAAGTGTTTCCATCCCTTGCAGGTTATGGAAAGTTTGTTATCACACAAAGTATGTCTTCTCCCCACTTGCCTTCTCCCCACTCCCTACCTCCTCCCAGCCTATAGCCAGCTTACCATTTGCAACTATTTCAGTGGTCTCACGTTTAAGACATAAATAAAAAGCGTGCCGTACAAGTTGCATTAAATCTAGCCTAACAGGTAAAACTGCAGTATCTATCAGTGTATGTTTCACTTAAAATATAAATATAAGCATAAACATAAATATAAATATATATGCAGCTTCCATGTTCCTCTGAATAGTCCCTGTTTGGTGTTCTAATACAGTAACCAGAGCTCCGTGCCATGCTCAGAAAAGCCACTCAGTCTGGGAGCTAGGCTTGTGTGCACTTAGGTCTTGGATCTCCTCGGGCTGGGTTCTGCTTCTGGGCAGGTTTGTGGAATCTGATCCTTGGAGGGCGGTAGCGGTGGGGCATAAGGAAGATGCAAGGTACTCTTCCCCACGCCCACCTTGGTCTCCCCTGCACCTGCTTCTCTGCCTAGGCTCCAGTTGCAGCTCCAGCTCCCCCTGGGCACTCAGTGGCTTCCAGCTTCTGTCTTCCATTTATGTACCTTCTCCTTGGGTGCTTCCAGCCTTGGGATGGGGGCGGCTTCCTGCTCTCCCTGTCTCTGCGTTGTGTTACGGCCCCAAGGACCCTCCACCACCAGGCACCCACTTGCCATGGTCAAAGTCGCTCTGTTGTAGTTAGTAGAACTTTCCGCTAGCCAGGTTGGCTCTGTGGGACTGCAGCACCCACCCACCTGTTGTGGTCCTTCTTTACAGTTAACTTGAAACACTGGTGACCTGGTTAATCCTCTAACCAAAAGCCTTTCTGTGTGCTGTGCAGTGGATCTAGGGGAAAACCTGGCAGCATGTCTGGGGGCCCTGCTTCGGGGCCTTGCTGGGTCATGGGGCAGGTGGGGGGGGCAGCTGAGGGTCACTCTGATCAAGGCCTCCCTTTCACATAAGATGAAAGTGCCCCTGGGGACATCTTGTGTTTCCTGCCCCCAAGTCCTTCAGAGCCAATGCACCTGCAGGCTATGCTTGCAGTTTCTGTGAGGACCAGCAGTGGGTTCTTCAGTGGAGTGGCCCCGCTGCGGCCGGCTGGCCTTCTGATGTGTGCCTTTGGTCCCGCAGGGTCAGGTCATAGAATGTGGCTGAGCTGGAGCAGCCCCCAACTCCGGCCTCAGCAGAACCACCGACGGGCCCTTTGTGACTGTGAGCCAGGTGATTGGCCTTCAGCTGGGCACAGTGCACTTACAGAAAGGCCAGAGCCAAGAGTAGGCGGGGCCAGCTCTGCTGTCCTCCTTGATGGTATTTCAGTATTTCAAGCAGATGTTTGGCACAGTGGTTAAGTTGCCGTGTGGGACACCTACATCCCATATTGGAAAGCCTCTTTTTGTCCCCACTCTTCCTCTCTGATCCAGTTTCCTGCTAATGCGTCTTGGGGGGCAGCAGGCCCAGCCCTGGCTATTGATGGCATTTGGGGAGTGAACCAGTGGATGGACAAATTCTGACTCTCTCTCTCTCTGTCTCTCCCATTCTTCCTCCACCCCCCCTCCTCTTCTCTCATTGCTTTTCAAACAAAATGAAAAGATTTAAACATTCAACATAAGCGTATCTTTTAATTCCGTTTTCCATGAACTTTTTGGCGAATCCCTCTTATAAAACCAGCTCATCTGACCTAACTTACATGTTCCTTCTCTGTTTTAAGCCCAATCTCCATGTATTCTTTAAATGTCATGTAAACAGCAGCCCCTTGGCCAGTATTGTGTGTATATATTCGGGGCCAGATGCTATGTGTGCTTTAAATAACTTTGATTTACTAAACCTTGCTCCTCCACCCCCCCCCCCAGCCCTTTCTTTTCAGAAGACACATTTAGACAATCACCATTCACCTCCAATTCAAAAGATCTGCTGCCCAGTGAGTCTCTGCTTCACGGAAGAGTATCAGCTCCAGGTAGGGAAATCTGTTCTCTTTGCTTCTACTGTTGGTTGCTGAAGAATTGCTCTTCTCAAATGTGTGAATTTTCAGATACTTGCAGCTTATGTGTCATGGTTATTCACGGGAAGCTAGGTTTTAGAAAAAGAGGAGAAACTCAATTTAAACAGTCATGAAAGTTTATTAAAATAAAATGATAACCTCTTCATCTTTGCTTTAAGAGCTTAGTTTTCTTTACGTGCTGATATTTTGTCTGTGTGGTGAATTTCCTTTTCTTTAAAATAGTCAAGTTTAACCTGAAAATACTTCGCTTTACACGTTATCAGTGTTTCGAGCAGGCAGCCGGAAGATATGAGAGGACAGTGGCAAGAATGGCAGTCCCCAATAGGGCGTAGCAGGTCCACAGTGGGCGGGGTCACCACAGAGGCCACTTCCATCTCCATGGAAGCAACACAGCTCACTGAGAACATGTTACTACCCAAATTCCATCTCTCTTCTTAACTGTGGAATCCATCTCAGCCATCAATACCTAATTTCTCACCGATTACTCATTTCCAGACTCAAAGAAAAACATTTGCTGTTGTCCTCTGATCAACAGCGTGGCTGCCCCTCAGGGTTTACATGTGTGTTCTCAAAGCTATTATGAAATGAGAATATTCCAGAACCCCTGCACCATGGACCATACTCCCTACCCCTCCCCAACCCCGGCTTCCCCACCATCACTGCAGCCTCTGGGAAACTTCCTGTGAGTTGTGACCATTGTCCCCAGCTGTGGACAGGGTCTTGGAAGCTTAGGCAGGGGTTGGGAGGGTGGGGGTCCTCCATTCACATTCATTTGTCCAAGAGAGCAGGATGGGAGACCGAAGCATCATGTGTGCAGGAGGGGCCCTGTAACCCCTTCAAGAACACAGTGCAAATGTCTTGCACATAGCTAGGGAGCCCTGCATCCCAGAGACTGGAGAGCTGATTCATTTGCAAGATGGAGTCAAACAGTATCTGAAATGTTGCCTTGGGGTATCAAAGGTGCTTGGAAGTGTTTGTGACTCACAGAGGGGGAAAGGCCTTCTCTGGTCTGGTGATGGTGAATCCATCCCACCTTACCAGCACATCCAGCCAAAGAGTGCAAATACTTGCATGATCTTTAGCTTGGCTGGCAAGGCTTTTCTGTGCAACCACCAAAAATAACCTGCCCACACAGAACACATTGCATAATAGCCAGCTCCAAAGGTGGAAAGATATTCTGCTTAGTTGACGTCTTCCTCAAGCCAGGGCTCTCAGAACCACTGTTTGCTTGCCCCACCATGTTATTTTGTATAGCCATGCCCCTGGTCCCAGAATTATTGCCCTGCTATTACATTGATGGATTGTGACTTTCTAATGTCAAAATAACTGCCTAGGAACTGCCAGGGTGCTGTGACCCACATGGCCAACCCCCTGAAATGTACATTGGAGCCTTGCATTGCTTCCTTGATGTTTGCCTTGGCTGTATTGAAGGAAGGGTTTATTGGTCAAGTTCAAACCGAACTCAGTGGGTGATGTCAGTGTACGTGTGACTGATCAGTTGGAGGTTTTCTGTCATTCTGTCATTGATAGACATATACTACAGATTAGATAAAATTACATTTAATTGAGGGGGAGGGCAGCATAACTGGGATTTTTAATAGTTAATCCATTCTTCTAAGGGATCTCAATCTACTGTACTTCAAAGCCTTTCCTTAGGCAAAGGAAAAGCAAAATGACCACTCTGTATTTCTGTTTTGCTAAAATAAACAGCTAGAAAGTGTACTTTTGTTTTTTAATAAACAAGGTGAAAATGCTTTGGAAATAGAGATAAAATTAGAAAAATTTAGAACAATGAAGACGGCGTTGTGATCACGGAGCCCTGGTAGTCTGAAGGTAGTTTTGTAAGGAAAGACTCAGTCATTTGGACCAAAAAGAGAAGACTAATCTGAGTCAACCAGTGTTGCCAGTGTGGAGACTTGTAAAGAAAACTTACGCCTTTCCAGTTTGGCCTGGGCTATTATACAGCTACTACAGCCCCCCAGTCTCTTAATAACAGTTCGGAAATGAAAAAATAATTCCTACATATCAAAAAAATTTTTGAATAAACTATTTGGTGGCAAAACATAAAGGAAGGCTCTTTATTAACTTCAGGTGTTACAACAAGGATAAAGCTCATACATTTTAATGAAGAAACATCAGTGTATTTGATAATGAAGTACTGCTCCAGGTCCACATGGGGTGTTAGGTAAAATGTGTTTTGTGCACCATATTATTATCCTGAAATCAGAAGAGGTATAAATCCCAACATAGACCCACTCCCAAGGGATTCAGATACATATTATGGACCGATATGTGTTCTAGCATTCTGCTAAATGCTGGAAACAAGGCCATTAAAGTTATAATTCAGGGGCTTAAAGTTCTAAGATATAAGAGCCATGGATTCCTCTAGAGAATTCCAGAAGACCAATAGAGCTGCTGACTGCTGAACCATTGGAGAGGTTGGGGCAATCTTCTGGTCTTAGGGGAGCCTTGGATATCAGTGAGGGCCTAGGGAAAAGGAGATGGATGGAGGACAAAAAAGATGGCAACAGATGGGCCAGAGACCCAGACAGAGGGCAAGTTGAGTGGTGTGAGAGACTGGTCAGCTTTCACCATGAACAGGCTGAGGGAGGGAATGCTCATGGCTGTGAATAGAAAAGAAAGCCAGGAAAGGAGACTGGCTCTAGTGACTAGGTAGAAAATCATTTGATATTAGTATATAAAAGAAAGGCCCAGAGTCTTTAGAAATCTTCTCTTGGGTAATTTAAATGTTACAATTAAAATATTGTTTCTTCTATTTTATTCACTTAATAAACTACTTTCCAGAGATAATGCAAAGTTAAATATCAGCTCAGGGAATTATTTCAGATTCCCAGTTAGCAGAGATCATCATTAATGAGATTTCATGTGCCTAGTTCCAGCCTAAGAAATCCCTTGCCGATGGGGAAAACATGTAGCATTGTTTTAACAACAGATCTTGTATATCCTTGTACACCTGCTTTCAGTAGGATAGAATTCTCTTCCAAATGCCCTCAGAGGAAGACCGCAGAGCAGATGAGGTGCCAGATGAGAATATCTTTAAGAAGTCACAGCCCTGAGCCTGGGGATCCCTGGTAGAACCAGAACATCACGGTCATGATGGTGATCGTGTTTCAGGCCTGCTGGAGGATGAAGAGTGAGATGAGGAAGACGGCGAAGTGGGGAGAGGATGGCAGAATGGGGGACTGTGAAGAAATCAAGAATAGCACAGTGAACTAGGCATTTGCCTTCGGCAGATGGTATCTGAAACTCACAGCTGCTCCCACCCAGAGAAACAGAATAAACACAGAGCTGCTCAGTGGCCTGGCCTCAGCCATTGCCAATATTTCTAGGCTGACTTGCCTGAGAACTGGAGAACCCCCAGGCACTCAGGCCTAACTGCAAACGTCTTCCACAGAGGTGGCATCAGAAATCCTTAGCAAAATGATGAGCTAAAAACCTCTGTCTCCTTGTGCTGCAGAGATGTGGGACAAAATGTGCCCAAAGCATGCATAGATCCCTGAGTACATCCCGGCTGCCAGTGTAGCTGCTTATGAGTTTACAAAGGCAATAAAAGAGCCTTCCTGTCAAAGGGATGATAGAAATCACAGACTGTGGATATTTTAATGTACGTAGCTTCATTTACAGTGATCTCACTTTGTGCAAGATTGATATTCGCATAAGAAAGATTCCAAAGCCAGGTGTTTGAGGGTACACGGGGACAATTCTGTATTAAGAGTAGACCCATCCTTACCAATGTACCTGCAGCTGTTTCTGTTTTCCCATCATTGTTCGGGACTTCAAGGCTATTAATGAGTACAGTGCAAGAGTATATCTCAGTGCTTCTTCTAAAGGATCCTGTGTTATTGTGAGTTTGAAGTCATAGTATGTTTGCTCTGTATTAAGCCAAAAAGCAAAAACACAGCCAGAGCGGGTGTGAAGGAAAATGTGGGTCTCCATGGAATTCTTTCCTGGTGTTTGGAGTCTCCCATGCTTCTGTTTGTTATTTCAGATGGAGCTTGGAGTTAGATGAACTAACACACATCAGCAATTATAGTTGTAAATCCCTACCGTGTGATTTTCTAGTTGCCTTAAGAAAACTCTTCTGTTACTGTTGTTTATAAACATACAGTCAAACACAAAAGAACACTAGCACCCACTGCAAAAACAACCTTCTTTGGATGGGGAGGGGGAAGATTTTAGCTCCTTTTAGGACTTGGTATGCCAATCAAGATTGGATGTTGTCAAAAGGCTTGTTTGAACTGGTCTGCCTTGTTCCCATGCCGATTTTTCATCCATTTTCGCTTCTCTGCTCTGTCCATCAATCTGATACTAGTGGTACCATATTCTCTTCTGAAATCTAAATAAATGATGTCTTGCATTAACATGCCACCTGCAGCCAACTCAGAGTGTTATGCTACTGGCCAGGTATGAATGACCCGTTCAAGACAGGTATTTTAAAGGGTATGTCTCAATGTGTGCATGTCACCATCATTTATGTTAAAGTGGAGAGAGAGAGAGAGAGATGCTCTGAATTACAGCAAACAGCACATTCTTTTAAAATTCAAACTGAGTCATAGATAAACAATGAGCATTGGGTGTCGGTGTGTATGGTTTCTTGTAATTTGGGCTCCTTTTTGATGAAACAAATTCATTCTGTACAGAGAAGGAAGCTAACAGTTCTCAAGGATCCACTAAATTGTTAGGCACAGAACATATGTCACATCGTTTAATTCTGAAAACAACTCATCGAGACATAGGATTTAGCCACAATTTATGGATGACTAAATGGAGGCTCAGAGAGATTTAATAACTTGCTCCAATTCATAGGGTGGGTGAATGGCAGCACAGGAGTGCCAACCCGGAACCACATAGTACATTTTCTCTCCTCTGGCCCTGTCATGCTGACTACTGCGTGCCAGCAGGCAGCCTGCAAACAGAACACACCTCCCCGGGGT